GTAAAAAGGGTGAAAAATGCTTAAAGGAGAGAAAAAAGGATCAAATGTGGAGCAAAAAGGTGAAAAATATGCAAATGAGTTTTGGCGCCTAAGCGCCAGATCTGGCGCTTAAGTGCCCGTTAAATAGAGAAGTCCGTGCCTAAGCGCCAGAGGCCCTACACTTAAGCGTCAGTGGCAATTATTGGGCGAGTGAAATCGGTTTCTGCGAATTTTGAAGAGGTTTTTGAGGCACCCATTGGCTTAATAGGTGGTTATAACCACCATGGACGAAAATTATCATGAAAGGATGCATCTCTTGGGGAAATATATCGAATCAAGACATATTTTGATGAGAAACCAAGACACCTTTTGGAAAATTATAAAAGAAAGAAGAGAGGACTTTGAAAAGAGTCCTGAAAAGGTCCGAAAAAGTGTGAGTCCTGAAAGTATTGAAAAGTTTTGAAAGTTCTCATTTGGGGAGTTAGTTCAGAGAGATTTTTAGGCACTACTTTTACTTTTATTTTATCATTTTTGTTATTTTATTTTGAGTGATTGTAAAGAAAAAAAAAATCAAAAGAACTTCAAGAGTTTGGTGGACTTGAGATAAGTTTTTATCTTTTTGTTTTGAGACTACTTTTGATTTAATTGAGACTTGTTATTGGTTTGACAATGATTTCTTCTTTTAAACTAAAGTGTGGTTTTGTTTTTACCATAGATTCTGAGTAGTTTTCTTTATCTTTCTTCTTAAAATGATAAGTAATTAAGTTTTGGACGGAAGTTATGGAAAATATTGATCTTGAATGATGGAAGAAGTTATATAGAACTGAGAGGCTACTTACAAATTATAATTTACAAGAATTGTTAAAGATACAATGGATAATGAATGCAAATAACAAAAAAAAAACAAAAAAAATTTAAATGCTATATTTTGAAAAAGAATTTGGAGGGATCATGTTATAAAGCTTGCTAACAGCTTTGCAATAGAGGCGATCAATCCTTACAGCTTTATTGAAAGTTATCTTCAATTAAGCTCAGGGACTAATATAAAAGATAATTGAAAGATAAAGATTTAAATCATATTAAGAGTCCCTCATATTTCAATGCAAAATAATGTCATCCAAAATTAATTCTTTAAATATACTTCAAATAAAAATATCAATACTGAAATAGATAGATTAACAGGGACGCAGATATATCCCAACAACTTCTAAAAAATATATTTCAAAATTTTATTTTTAAAACATATTTAAAATATTTAAAATATTTAAAGTTATTAGTAAATATTATATACTAAATTTATTGCAATTTTATTACAAATATAGTATTAAATCATTTAAATCCTCCCGTTCGGTTTTCACAACCACTTTCTCTGTTCTAAACAAAGTGCTTGCAGGTTGCTGCTGTATATTAGGAAAAAATATTACATCAGAACTTCACACGTAGAGTTACGTGCGGAGTCACGCCACACGTGAAGACCTGGTAACACGAAGAATATTCCCTATATGGGAAACACAATAAGACATCAATAGCACTTGACTAATACATAATAATACCTGAATAGTACGGGAGAAATATTTTAATGCGTGATGCTTCTTTTTTCTGCTTCACATGTATGAGGTGATTTGATTGTAATTCGGAATTAACTCTATTACTCATATAATATTTTTTCGTGCATTAGAGGAGCAGGAAAGAGATTGCGGGTTGCAGCCGCGCTTTAGAAGGAGCAGGTACGCGATGGTAGCTTCGATCTCACCCTTCTGCACATGGCTCTCAACTCCTCTTTCACTGCCTTCTTTGCACCGAACCCTTCCTCCAAAACCTTATCACATACTCGCCGCGGCACCTCCCGTATCCTCTTTTGCTCCTCGCTTTCTCTCTCTCGCTACTTCTACATGGCATTGTCACCGTCGGCGCCGACCGAGGGACTTAACCGTCTTCGCCGATGACGTTGACGTCGATTCTGGCGGCGGGGACGACTACGACATGGACGCTGACGAGGAAGAAGTGGAGGAGCTGGACAACAAGAAGGACTACGACCTGGAATACGATCACCTCCTTGGTGGCCCCATCCTACCGGCTGATGGTTCATCGTCGGATGACATTGAGATGGTGCGAAGCAGCAGTTTCGTCTCCACACTGGGCACGGAGTCCGAGAAGGTGGTAGATTACCGGATTAATGAGGAAGAGTTCCACAAGATTAGTCTTCTACACTGCGATTTTTTCATCCGAAAACCGCCTGACCCTGATAATAACGTCTATGACTTTAGAGAGGTCTGCTCTGTTTCATGAATTTGAGGCGTTATTTGCTATATTTGTAGATGATCGAGCGGAAATTATTTTTGTCATTTCTACAAACAGATGTACGTCACTCCACCAGACACGGATGTGTATTCGATTCCTAAGGTTCTTGCTCCCATGCCCGAGAAGGTAAACTGTAATTCTTTCATTCACTTAATTTGTTATAATAACCACATTTGAAGGAGTAAAAGTTTTTTTGGCTATTTCAATTTAGGGTGTTATTGTTTCACCTGTGGCTATACGAAATCTCAGTTCAAAAATAGCTCTGAAAAATTTAATGTTCAAAGGCTAGTGTTTCGGAAGTAGTTGATCTGTTTGAAAAATACAGTCTTGAAAATGTTGTTTGTGTATAAATATCTGTAATATCCCCTAATAGATATTATCTAAAATTCATATGTATTTTTAATGTTTGTAACTCTCTTTTTTAACTGTGTAACCTAAATTAGCAAGAATACGAAAATAAAGTCAAAATTAAATTATAGAATAAAGAGAAGACTATAATTTAGAAATTGTATTTTTTGAGAAGACTAGAATTTAGAAATTGCATTTTTTTTCTAAAACTTATTCTGTTCAGTAAAAAAAAAAAAAATCAAAATGGATAAATATTTGAAATAAGGCCGATGATTATAACTCAAGTACTTTTGACTTACAATACCTTTATCATAAGATGCATGACAATGCATGGTAGCATATTGAAGTAAGGAGAATAGAAATCGAATATCTTAACGACAAGAAGAGTTACAAAAAAATGAGTTAAACATCTTCAACATAAACTGCACTAGAAGTCTGAATTATGAGCTATGTTACTAATAGATCCTACATTAGTCGAGTTTGTATTCCAAATTACATTAACATCATCAAAATAAATACAACGCTAACAATAATAATAGAAATGCAGAGCAATATCTTCATAAGAAATTTCAAGTTTTCAAGACTCTTCTTCATGGTATCTTCAGATGTATTTCCTTCTTCATCATGTCATTCCTATCTTGCATCGCGTGGTTCATCCACCCACTGAAACAATTTGTAATCTTCATTTGATCGATTTTGGGACATCTATAGAATTTTGTGCCAGCGTTTGCACCTTTCTCTTTCTTGAAAACAATGCATAACAGGTTGCAACTACAAAATATTTGTTGATGTTTTGTCCCCTTAGAATTTGTTGAATAGTTTGAGCACATTTTCGATAATATAATTCTGTAAATTAACGATTAACACATAAATAATAAGTGAGAGGAAAGAAATAGGTAAAAAAAAATAGTTTTTAGGCAACACAAATAACAAAATTGAAAAGATATATAAAATTACAAATGAATCTCACCACACACGATTTTGATTCCTAAGCTATCGTTGACCTCATTTTTGGTGATGACTTTCTTTCTTCTTAGTACTTAGGATATAGTCATAGGATTTTTCTTTTGACTATCCTAGAAGACTAGAGATGGAACCCACCTACATAGAAATTCAAACCACCTCTTTGCTCTCTTTGAAACCCTACATGGATAGTCATGAACCTCCAGCACTTGGAAGGTTGAGGCCAACATGTGAGGATTCAAGGATGAGTCCTTATAGGACCGTTGAACTTAGGGTAACCCTGGGTGGCTAGGGTTTGGTCTCTCACACACCCAAACACATCACAATTCCCCACTTGTCCTAAAATCCCAAAATTACACCAATTGAACCTATTTCTCTTTGCTCTTTTGAAAACTTATGTGGGTGTTCGACAAGCTCTTAGCCCTTTGGCTAGGGTAGCTAGGACCAACACATGGAGGATCCAAAATGGGCTTCCCCCTGGTTTCATGGCTCAAATAAGGTACTCATCATGATTGACATATCCAATGACCTTCAATTCCACCTAGACACCCAAATTTGGCATTCTAGCCACTAACTCCTCCACAATTACCAAATTACGCCTGGAACTCTAATTTTCCAAAAATGAAATCTTGAAATTCTCTTCAAAAATCATATCAAACTACTCCTAATTAATAAAATTGACCAAAATACCTAATTGTCCCCAAAACTCTCAAAATACCTCCAACTTTGCCAAAATTACCAAAATACTTGTACCAAAAAATTTGCCAAAACTCTAATTCCACCAATTTTCATCCCAAAGTTCATTTAAAAATTCCCCACATTGCCCAATTGCCCTAAATTTGCCAAATTTGACCAAATTGGCCAATTTTGACCAAAATCCCATTTTTACCCATAACTTGCCAAATTCCCCAAATCAATCATAATTTCCACCAAATTCATTTTAATTTCACCCAATTTCAAACTCAAATTGTACATCAACTTATCCAATCCCAGTCTATACCAATTTGGAGCCCAAGTGAACCAACCTCCAAACCCTAATTTCAATTTTGAGTCAAAATCCCCAATTTTACCATACCCCTAAATTTCTTCAAATTGAACCCCATAACCAACACAATTTCCCCAATTTTAAATTCTAAACTCTTCATAAAACTCTCCTAGACCAATTTGAACTTTCAATTGGCCTAGGCCCAAATTCAAGCTTAGCCTAAATCTAACCCAAACCAAAACCCCCAATTTTACCTCAAAATTCAAATTTCACCAAATTGAACTTCATGAAACCCCCATTTCTACCCAATTGATAGTCAAACTACTCATGACAATTTTCTAAACTATTTTAGACTTCCAATTGACCCAAATCCAAATCCTAACCTAACCTAAATCCAAACCCAAACCAATTACCCCAAAATAGACTTTAAGCCAAAATTCCATCAAATTGAGCCATTCAATCAATTCAATTTCAACAAATTCATTTCCTAAACTCTTCGTGACATTTCCCTAGACTAGTTGGACCCTTCAATTATTTTTTAAACCAAGCCCAAGCCAAGCCCAAGTTCAGTTTCTAGCCCAAACCCTAATTTCAAGCCTAATGTTACCTCCTAAAAGAGCTCTTTTGGGAGGTGACAAGTGGTATTACAACAGATTACTGTCTGCCAGGTGTGTGAACTCTCCATGGTCCAGTGGGACCCTCGGTGGAGCCGATCCATGACGAGAGCGTCACGTGATTTAGTGGAGAAGAATGTCACGGACAAAAAGTCCCACATTGGCTAGATGTAGGGCCGAAAAGCAGTATTTAAGTCCTGGGCTGCCCACCACCTTTAAGAGCTCTTTCGGGAGGTGACACTAAGCTCTAAATTAACGTAAACATTTTGATTTAACTAAGCCTAATCATCTCTGCCATTCCCAAGTCCCCTAGGATGCTAATCAAATCATCCATGAACCAAATCTTGAGCCATGGACCAAGGGTTCCCCAAATCATGGAACCTTCCACCATAATTGGCTAAGCTCTCTACCCCATGCCATCAACCATTAAATCAAAAAACTAATCACCATTAAAGCTTCTTTAACCTTCCCTGACCTAGCTAGCCACCTCCCTTGACCTGGCCGGCCGACCTAGTCGCTGGAAAACCCATAACCAAGAAGGCCATCCTTGGTTTAAACCCAAATTTCTACCCATCTAATGTAGCTCACCCCCATTGGTGAATTGCGCCGCTCAACCCTCCACCTAAGCATCCTTCTCCATCCCTTGGCTTGACCAATTAAGCCCTAATTCCATAACTATTTAAACCAGCACTCTCTCGGCCAAAAGAAGAGTGCTGCCAATTCCTTAGGGAGACCCCTCCGAATTGCTCTCACAACTTTCCCAGACCTTCCTAAGCTCATCCCAATAGAATTCCAACCATCTCCCCCACTGTAAAAGCCTAATTTCAAGCTTGAAATCCATGATTTTTTCTGTCACTCCACCAAACTTCAAATTGATTGCTCTCACAGCTTCCTCAGACCAAACGAGGAAGTTCCCCATCGAAGCCCCCTCACTTTGAGCACTCTAACCCACTCCTAGACCAAACCCGAATCACCCTTTGATCGAACTCTTGCCTAGGCTCAACCTCAGCTCAAATTGGCGCTTGAAGGTGTTTCGTGAGGTCACAACGAATATCTACAACTAACCCAATCGAGGCCTCACCTCTTGGGCAAAGGTATAGCTCACAAACTTCAAAATCGTGCCCGATTTCATTAATTGTGTAGAGAAGTTTAATTCCATATGCATTTAATCGTGTAGATGTGCTCGTCTCGATTAGATGAAACTATAGGATCAAACCCCATGCGATTTGGTTTAGAATCGAGCGAGATCTTAGGTTTAGAAAACATGCGGTTCTCGGTTTAGGTTAGATGGGGATGATGAACGGATGCCGTCCATTCACGCGTGTATCGAATCAACAGACCAGATGACGTTGGATGATACCTTGGAGCGTTAAAGGCGGGTTGATGAGACACTCACTCAGAAGGCGGCGTCAAATGTAAGGTCGTCGCGTGGAGCTTCCACGGGTCTTATGTTGCGCCGACGCTGAGGTGGATAAGTAGATAAATAACTATTTAAATGATTTAAATAATTTAGAAACTTTAAAAATTCATAACTTGGTGTAGAAAAATTATAGAAATAAAATAAAAATACACGTGCTCAGTGAATAGAGAGAATCATGTGATCAGGAATATTCTCTGATTTTTCCAAAGTTAGAGTACACCCATAACATGGTAAACCCTAATTTCTAAGTTTAAGTCACCCATTTGCTTAAAATAATTATATAAATTAAAATAAAAATCAGAAAAACATGAGACTTGGGGCCCGTTTGGGGCAGCTTATTCACTTGCGGCGACGTTTTGAAAACGCTGCCCCAGTGTTTGAATATTGCGTTGAGCGACCGTTTCTCTGCCGCACCCTATCCTCGATCCCGAATTCCTTAAGGGCGAGCGAAGCGGAGGGGTCCTTGCGTCCCGCATATGAGTATCGCGTTAGGGTAATATTCTACTCCTGTGCCCCTCGCTTGCTCTCCCCTTCTACTCTCGCCCTCCCGTTCTTCCTTCCTCCTGCAACTTCTCTCGCGGAGATCAATATCGAGGTAACGAAAATCCTCGCTCTAGGGCCTCCTTGATCTTCCATTTGCTCCTTCTCGCCTCAAATGAGGTATCTTTGCACATTTTTTGCTTTTATCTGAAAAGAGATATATGGTATTTCAACGATAGAGAGAAATTTTTGCATTTCTTTGAGAAGAGATATATGGTATTCATTAGATTTCAACAGATTGCGAATAGAGGGAATT